GTGCACGAGCACCCACCTCTGCGTGGACGCGTCCCGGGGTGAGCGGGGCCCCCCCCGCCTCGCCGTCGGAGCCCGCCGCCCGCTCCTCCCCGTCCAGCAGCGTCTCCAGGCTCTGCGCCAGCGCCTGCTGGGGGGGGCCGGCGCGGCCGGGGGTGTTGAGGAACTCGGGGTCCAGGTGGAGGGCGCGTGGCGAGGGCCGGCCGGGGGGGGGGCCGCCGCGCCGCGCCTTCAGCCGCGCCTGCAGGATGTGGCACAGCTTCGGGGAGGCGTCCTGCAGGAGGGGGGGGAGGACGTGTTACCCCCAAACTCCGGGAAAAAGCAACTGCCCCCCCCAGACCCCCCACTCACCTTGGAGCTGGACTTCCTGGCCTTGGACGGACTGCCCTCTGGGGCTGAGTCCAGGCAGCGGCGCTTCAGCGTGGGGGGGCTGGCGTCACACCCCCCGGGGGCCAGCCGGCTCTTAGCCGCCCCCCCCGCCCCCGCCGCCGGGGGGCCGGTGGGGCTCTGCCCGCTTTTGTCCTCGAAGGTCATTGAACGCACCGCCAGGCTGGTGGGCTGCGGCCGGGGGGGCGGGTGGGCCCGCAGGCCGGGCGGCTGCAGGTACACGGCGTAGGCCCCGCCCCCCCGCGGCGGGGGCAGCAGCACGGGGATCATGGGGGAGCACTGCGCCGGGAGGAAGGCCAGCGGGCCGGGCGGGGCCCCCCCCCACCGGCTCCTGGGCGGGGCTGGGCGGCCGGGCCTTCGGGGGCTCCGCGGGGGCGGAAGGGGGGGGGGGGGGGGGGGGGCTGCGGCGTCTCGGGGGAGGGGGTTCTCTCTGGAGCCTCCGGCCTGGAAGAGAGGAAAGACACCGGCTTAGCCCCTAAAAAACTCTCAGGACCACCTGACGGTGGTAATAACTCAGGTTATCTGGCTAGAAGCTAAATTAAAATCAATGAATTCGTGTTATTCGTTGAAGACCAATGAGTTGATAGAAGGGGGGGGGGCATCCTGTCATTAGTTGCTGGTGGACGCCGGTTTATTGTTGGTTTCATAGCTAACAAACAGCTTGTCCCGATCTGATATTTGGATTAAAAGAATCCATTACTGATGCTTAACAGTTCATAGACTATTTTTTATTCGGGTTGTTCGTGTGTTTTGCCTTTTTTTAATACAGTTTATATTATTTGCACTTTTTACTGTTCCCTGATGCCATTTCCATTTGTTCTTTGCAATTGTGTCTATGTTGTGTTTCTCCCTGAATAAACAGGTCAGGTCAGTGTATTATTCAGACTCCCCTAATTCAGCTGCTAGTTGTTATCAGAGTAAATCCCTGTTCAACATGAGTCTGACAACTAAGTAAGTAGATAAATAACTTTAAACTTTAATACATGCTGATAGGCCGGGATCGGATCGGGGACATCCCTAACCCTAGTTATTACATCTTATTACAGTTATCAATCAGAACCGGAGCTGGACTCACTCCTGGCGGAGCTCGATCTGGCAGATGGCGGCCAGCTGCTCCATCTTGCTGGGGAACCCGCCGTCTGTGGGGGGGGCGCGCTCGCCGGCCCGCCACTCGCCGGGCGCCCCCCTCAGCGGGCTGCTGGGGGCCGAGTTGATCTTGCGCCGGTCGTTCTGGATGCTCCGGGCCAGCTTGACCAGGGAGGGGTGGCGGGTGAAGCCCCGCCGGCCGGCCGGCGAGGAGAAGAGGTTTTTGGAGCAGTTCTCCAGAGACGCCCGGGACTCCAGGAGCCCGCGAGGAGCCGAGCCCCCCCCCTCTGAAACCACAGGTACACAACTGTGAGACAGGTCCAGCCCCAACATTACCCCCCGACAGGAAAAATAGCAAAATGATAGCTTTCACTACCATATTTCCCTATAGTGACCCCATAGTGGTTACATATGCATAAAGTAGAAGATAAAAAGAGACATTTATTGAAAAGTGGGGAAAGCAGATTACATTTGTCTCTACAATAAGACCACTTAAGAGCACTTTTATGTTTTTTAATATCTCTTTATCTTCCGACTTCAAGACTGGAAATGTTTTTCCAATCCCCGTTTGGGGACTTTTACCTTTTCCTTGACATTTTCATTATTTGTCTTTAGCTTTTCATGTGGATTGTTTGTTCATTAAAGAACTATCAAAAGAGAATGACAAAACAAAAAGAAATGACTGAGATACCTTTCACTGGTGGAAATTCTTGAGGACCGACCCACTCGAAGGCCGGCTTCCTTCCCCGCTCCTCGGTCACGTGGACCTTCTCGATGAGCTTCAGGCTTCGCAGCACGTTGGCGATGTCGTACAGCCGCCGGACTTTTGCTGTGAGCACCAAACAAAACAGACGATTACCTTTCTTTGATTGTTTCGTCAGAGTGATTTTTGTGTGAAATCTAAATAATCGTGTGATTTTTCGCGTGACATTTAGATGATTTTGTTTCTTTTTGCGTGAAATTTAG